GTAGTACATATTAGGAATCCAGTAGATATCTGTTGAATTGACTGATGAACTGTCTATCTTCATATATTGCTGTCTATAAATTAAAGGGAGTGGGCTGGGCGTGGCGATTCACAGCTGTACTCCTAGCACTTTGGGAGGCCAAGGCAGGTGGATCATGAGGTGAGCAGTTCCAGATTAGCCTGACTAACATGGTGAAACCCCATCTCTACTAAAAAATACAAAAATTAACCAAGCATGGTGGCACGTGCCTGTAATCCCAGTTACTCAGGAGTCTGAGACAGGAGAATCGCAGGAGGCAGAGGTTGCAGTGAGCCAAGATTGGCCACTGCACTCCAGCCTAGGTGACAGAGATTCCATCTCAAAAAAAAAAAAAAAAAAATTAAGGAGAGTGCCATCCTAAAGCACTTCAGGATTTTTCCTTACAGTGTCTGTGGATTTGCTTTGATCTATTTACACGTTATTATTGTTCTCTGAGATGGAGTCTCTCTCTGTCACTCAGGCTGGAGTGCAGTGGCGTGATCTCTGCTTCTCGGGTTCAAGTGATTCTTCTGTTTCAGCCTCCCGAGTAGCTGGGACTACAGGTGTGTGCCACCATGTCTGGCTAATTTTTTTTTATTTTTATTAGAGATGGGGTTTCACCACATTGGCCAGGCTGATTTTGCATTCCTGGCATCAAGTGATACGCCCACCTTGGCCTCCAAAAGCGCTAGGATTTACACATGTTATCTAGTCTCTCATATGCCCATTTAACACATATTTTCAAGATTTCTACTCAGCATTAATTTAAGGCTATCTGGTCTAAGGCAAATAATTTTAATGTTCATCTAACTTTGAAATGAATTATGCCTCAGTAATTAAAAATGATGTAATCCAATCCTATGAAATTATTTTAATAGTTATAATATTTACTGATAAATGAACTTTTTAAAACCAAATAGACATTAGGGTCTGATAGATAATTTCAGTTGCCTGATATGGCATTATCATATTTAATTAGATATGACATTAATTAAAAGCTGTTCCTTGTCATGTTTCATGTTTCCTATATAATATTTACTATCATTCAAATAAATTGCTATTGAGGTAGCCATCCAGAGGGAAGCTGGTTATTAATTTAGGAGTTTCTGTTGTTTAAGTGCCACAAATTGGATGGTGTTGCTGCTTGGATAGTAATGACAGTTATCTTAATTCAACTCATCAAATAATCACTGTCATTTATACAAGTATTTGCTTGTTTTTCCTCCTGATCTACCTTAAACAGTACCAAGCTTTTTTTTTTTTTTTTTTTTTTTTTTTTTAGATAGGATCTCACTCTATCACCCAGACTGGAGTGCAGTGGTGCGATCTCAGCTCACTGCAACCTCCGCCTCCTGGACTCAAGCAGTTCTCCTGCCGCAGCCTCCCTAGTAGCTGGAAATACAGGCATGCCTCACCATACCTGGCTAATTTTTTGTATTTTTAGTAGATGTGGGGTTTCACCATGTTGCCCAGTCTGGTCTCAAACTCCTAAGCTCAAGCAGTTCACCTGCCTCAGCCTCCCAGGGTGCTGGGATTACAGGCATGAGCCGCCATGCCTGCACAGCAGGACCAAATTTAACAAAACAATTCTTAGGAAAGAAGATTGAGTGTAGAGCAGATACGTTTTTCCAAAGCTGAACTTCTGCCACATTCTGAACAGTACTTCCTAGAGGGTGAAGGTTTTATTCAGGACCTCAGTTGGGAGACAGTGCTGGGGTGGGATGGGCTGTGTGGTGGAAGGAAGGGTCTAGTATCTATAGCTGGACTTTATTTCCAGCCTTCCCCTCTGTGCCAAAACCCTTCCATTTCTTGGATGTTGGTGTTGGTACAAAAGCTGCCGCCACTGACTTCCTTTCTTCCCACCTCCCCACATCCAATCATTTCTCTTCTAATCTAACAGAAATGTGGAAAAAAGTCTTTTCCTCTTAATTTGAGCCAAAGCACAATTGGAGTTTTTAGTAGTAACTTTTACCTGGAAAATGAATGGAAAATGGAAACACAAAGGTCTGAAGAGTCCAGACGTCTGATCTGGATCCAGATGAGTCTGGGTTGCACATCTCATGGGACACTCTAGTACCTCTTCCTCATCTCAAGCCTGTTAGGGGTATCTTGTCTAAACGTACTCCTGTTTCAGGTCTAGGACAGGGGTTGGCATATGATGGCCATGGGCCAGTTCTGGCTTGCTGCCTGTTTTTGTAAAGTGCTGTTGGAACACAGCCACCTGATTTGTTTACATATTGTCTGTGGCTGCTTTCGTGCTACAACAGCAGAGTCAAGTAGTTGCAACAGGGACTGGATAGGCCACAAAGCCAAAAATATCAACCGTCTGGCCCTTTATAGAAAAGGTTTACTAACCTCTGATCTAGGGCATTTCTTCTTTTTAGGGCCTCCTTTAGTTCATCTCCTTAGGGGAAGGGAAAGGAAGTCTGATAACATCCCTTAGTCACAGATAGATTATTCATTATTTTATTTTATTTGAGACAGGATCTCACTCTATCCTTAAGGGAAGGGAAAGGAAGTCTGATAACATCCTTTAGTCACAGATAGATTATTAATTTTAATTATTTTGTTTTATTTTGAGACAGGATCTTGTTCTGTCTCCCAGGCTGGAGTGTAGTGGCATGATCTTGGCTCACTGCAACCTCCGCCTCTTGGATTCAAGCTATTCTTGTGCCTCAGCCTCCTGAGTAGCTGAGATTACAGTCGCATGTCACCATGCCTAGCTAATTTTTTTTTTTTTTTTTTTTTTTTGAGATGGAGTCTTGCTGTGTCACCCAGGTTGGAGTGCAGTGGTGCAATCTTGGCTCACTGCAACCTCCGCCCCCAGTTTCAAGCAGTTCTTCCTCAGCCTCCTGAGTACCTGGGACTATAGGTGTGTGCCACCACGCCCAGCTAATTTTTGGATTTTTAGTAGAGATGGGGTTTCACCATATTGGTCAGGCTGGTCTTGAACTCCTGACCTCATGATCCATCCACCTCGGCCTCCCAAAGTGCTGGGATTACAGTTGTGAGCCACTGCGCCTGGCCCTGGCCAATTTTTGTACTTTTTGTAGAAACTGGGTTTCGCTGGTCTCAAACTCCCAGACTCAAGCAATCCTCCCATCTTGGCCTCCCTGGTTATTTATTTATTTATTTATTTTTGACAGGTATTAACCATTAGGACACCTTGCATCAGTGAATTAAATGGTTATTGTATATATCTATACATTATCATATAAGAGTATCACCCTATTTATATGGCAGTATGGCTGTGTTTGCATTCTTCTTACCTCTTGTTAAAAATGGGGTGTGTGTACCAGGCATGGTGGCTCACGCCTGTAATCCCAGCACTTTGGGAGGCTGAGGCAGGTGGATCACCTGAGGTCAGGAGTTTAAGACCAGCCTGGCCAACATGGTGAAACCCATCTCTACTAAAAATATAAAAATTAGCCAGGCATGGTGGCACGTTCCTATAATCCCAGCTACTTGGGAGGCTGAGGCAGGAGAATCGCTTGAGCCTGGGAGGTGGAGGTTTCAGTGTGCCGAGATTGCACCACTGCACCACTGCCCTGTAGCCTGGGTGACACGAGCAAAACTCCATCTCAAAAAAAAAGGGGGCGTGTGTGTAGAGTGGATTGGCTTATACCTTCCTAGGCTAGTTCTTGGTAGCTGGCTTGCTTCTATGGTAACAATTACCTGAGACTGTGCTGCATTTGTAGGAACAAATAGAAACTCCAGGCTCCTTCTGAGCTATCATGAGTCCTGAAATGGCTCTTGGTGTCTGGATCTAATTTGGCCTTCAAGGATCTTTACCTTGTGTTGATTTTTGTCATCTGTTATGCTTTAGCTAGTGTACTCTATTTTTGCCACATTTACTTTCTTGAGGGCTACTTGGATCTTCTGCTTTTCTTGTTTGTTTTCTTGTTGTTCTGAGATGCGGTCTTGCTCTGTTGCCCAGGCTGGAATATAGTGGCATGATCACAGCTCACTGCAGCCTTGACCTCCTGGCCTCAAGTGATCCTCCCACCTCAGCCTCTGGAGTAATTGGGACTACAGGTGCTTGCTACCATGCCTGGCTAATGATAAATGTTTTTTTTTTTGGATAGAGATAGGGTCTCACTATGGTTCTCAGGTTGCTCTTGAACTCCTAAGCTCAAGTGAGTTCCTACCTGGGCCTCCCAAAATGCTGGGATAACAGGTATGAGCCATCACAACTAGTGGGATTTCTTTTTTTTTTTTTTTTGAGACAGAGTCTTACTCTGTCACCCAGGCTAGAGTGCAGTGGTGAAATCTCAGCTCACTGCAACCTCTGCCTCCTGGTTCAAATGATTCTCATGCCTCAGCCTCTTGAGTAGGTGCCTGCCATCATGTCCAGTTAATTTATGTATTTTTAGTAGAGATGGGGTTTCACCATGTTGACCAGACTGGTCTCAAACTCCTGACCTCAAGTAATCCACCCACCTCGGCCTCCCAAAGTGTTGGGATTACAGACATTAGCCACAGCACCAGCCAACTTCTTAATATATTTAATTTTTGTATTTGTGTTTACATTCATGTAAATGGATTACTTGCCTATGAAATTATTTATTTATTTATTTATTTTTTGAGATGGAGTTTCACTCTTGTTACCCAGGCTGGAGTGCAATGGCACGATCTTGGCTCACTGCAACCTCTGCCTCCTGGGTTCAGGTAATTCTCCTGCCTCAACCTCCTGAGTAGCTGGGATTACAGGCATACGCCACCATGCCCAGCTAATGTTTTGTATTTTTAGTAGAGATGGGGTGTTGACCAGGATGGTCTTGATCTCTTGACCTTGTGATCCACCCGCCTTGGCCTCCCAGAGTGCTGGGATTACTGGCTTGAGCCACCGCACCTGGCTTGCCTATGAAATTATAAGTTTCTGGAAGAACATTTATTTTTCAGTCTTTTTTATAGCACTTAATATTGAATTGGAGAGTACTTTATAAGACTGTTTTGGCTAATTGATATCTCTTTCATCAAAGGTCTCCCAGCATTTGATTCGTCCACTGATGGGCATGAGTCTGTCATTGCAGTGCCAAGTGAGAGAGCTAGCAACATTGCTTCATATGAAAGACCTAGAGATCCAAGACTACCAGGAGAGTGGGGCTACGCTGAGCCGAGGTGAGAGGACATTCTTGGAGGAGTAGGGTGAGGGGTGGTGTAGATAGTCAGAGATTCTTAGGAAAGGGGGAGACTTACTTACATTAGAGAGGTGCTTCCCCCAGGGTGGGTGCTGGGTACTAACCAGAAACTGGAGTCTTGATACTAGGTGACTTTTTTTTCTCTAGAGATGGAGTCTTGCTCTGTCACTCAGGCTAGAGTGTAGTGGTGTGATCTCAGCTCACTGCAAATTCTGCCTCCTGGGCTCAGGCGATTCTCTTGCCTCAGCCTTCTGAGTAGCTGGGTTTGTGAACGCATGCCACCATGCCTAGCTAGTCTTTTGTATTTTTAATAGAGACAGAGTTTCACCATGTTGGTCAGGATGGTCTCAAACTCCTGACCTCAAGAGATCCACCTGCCTTGGCCTCCCAAAATGCTAGGATTACAGGAGTGAGCCACCATGTCTGGCCTAGGCAAACACTTTTCTCTGCCTTGAGTACCTGGCTGGAGCCCAAGTGGCCAATAGAAGCTGTAACCGAGTCCAGACATGCCCTAGGCAATGGCAGGGAAAGGCTTTGGGAAGGCACCAATAGCTCTACAGAATTGTACCAAAGCAACATGGACTTGGGAGTTTAGGAAGCTTCATGGCTCCAACTTCAGAATAAATGTTCAATTTGGCCTTTGTTTTTGTGGCAGGAAAAACTTCTAGAGCAGATGCTGCCACCAAACCTGCCATTTGTTGCTAATCACCCTCTCCCACTACTGTTTGCCCACATGCGCTCAGCCTTTCTTCTCCCACTGGACCAGGTGTCTCTGCATGATGCATCTTCCTCCTGTTTCCTAAGAAGCCCCGTTCTGTTCCCTTTCCATCAGGTCGGAAGCTCATGCTAATGACTCATGTTTCTTTTCTCTGTTCCTTATTACAGATCGATTGAAGACAGAACCATTTGAAGAGAATTCCTTCTTGGAACAATTTATGGTAGAGGTAAGGTATTTGTTGTTTTCTTGTGTGTCTTTGCCATGCTTCCTCTTTCCAGGTGCCTGAGTGGCAACTTGTGTTTTGAGTGTTAGGTGGCTTGTGTGGTTGGAATGCCCTTTGTCTGAAAAGTTGCCCATTGAAAGTCTGATAAGGCTTGAGATGTACTTAGGGACAATAAGGGGGAAAAGTGGGAAAGAACATGAGGTGAAAGTGGGCTGATTGATACTTAGAAAACATCTCCGTTAAAGTACTAGGGATTTCATTTGGAATTCTCTAACCTTGGAAATGTTGGTTTACCCGTTGCTAAATTTTTGCTTGTTGGGATCTGGTCACAAGGTCTGGATTGTGGAGCAGAAGGGTAGGCGTCATTACATGTCTAGGCCCTTTTAGCATCCAGCAGGAAAGGAAGGTAAAAACCTTAGGGCTACCATTTGGGGGCTGCCTTGTGGGCACAGTAGGTTGTGGAAAATCACAGTGTTTATACAAGGGGACTGGCAAAGGAATGAATGGGGCGTAGATAATTGTGGCCTGTCGGAAGCTCCTGCCTAGGTTTCCCTTCTAAGGATTGAGCTCAGCCAAAAGAAACATCTATTAAATGCCAAATAGGGGAAGTATTAATAATAGTGACCTTTGATAATGCCAGTCAATATTGATCTTCTTCCCTCACTCTTCTGGGACTTGTTGATTGTACAGTTAGTACTTAGTATTATTGCTCCATTTTCTTTTTTTTTTTTTTTTGAGATGGAGTTTCACTTTTTTTACTCTTGTTGCCTAGGCTGCACGATCTTGGTTCACTGCAACCTCCGCCTTCTGGTTCAAGCGATTCTCCTGCCTCAGCCTCCCGAGTAGCTGGGATTATAGGCACTTGCTACCATGCCCAGTCTCGCTCTGTTGCCCAGGTTGGAGTGCAGTGGTGCAATCTCGGCTCACCATAACCTGCTCCTCTCGGGTTCAAGCGATTCTCCTGCCTCAGCATCCTAGTAGCTGGGATTACAGACGTGCCACCATGCTCAGCTAATTTTTGTATTTTTAGCAGAGACAGGATTTTACCATTTTGGTCAGGCTGGTCTTGAACTGCTGACCTCAGGTGATCTGCCTGCCTCAGCCTCCCAAAGTGCTGGGATTACAGGCATGAGTCACTGTGCCAGGCCTATTGCCCCAGTTCCCTGCCTCATCCCCTTAGTTAAATAATGCAAGGCTGGTTCTTAGCTCAGTAGAGAGGTCTCTTCCTGATTTAGCATACCTATCGAGCTTGACTTCTTAACATTTTTCTCTATGTACTTTATGTTTTAGCTATATGGAATGACTTTTAAATTCCCCAAATGCTGTTTTATCTTATCTTTATATCTTATCTTTATATACACATTCTTCCCATGATCTAGAATGCCCAATGTGGTAGCCTTATCTTACTTATAAACTTCTATTAATATTCTAGATGTTAGCTTCACCTTGTTTGGGAGACCTTTCTATACTCTGCTTGTATAGACTGTTCTTCTTCCCTGCTACTACAGTACCTTGGATTATACCTCTGTTTTGCCAGTTATAACATTGTAGTATGTTTGTACATCTGCAAGACTATGGCTTTCTCTTCCATTGATCTGTGGACTCTGAGGCAAGGACCATGCTTAATGCATTTCTATATCCCCAGCACTGCATATGGTGCCTACAAGTAGTGAGTTTTCAATAAGTTGGGATCAATATTTTGATAAATCTATGCTAGGGGGATTTTATGAAAATTATGACAGTGTGGCCTGTGGATACAGTGTTGGTTTATTTTGGCTGGAGTGCAATGGTGTGATCTCAGCTCCAACCTCTGCCTTCTGGGTTCAAGAGATTCTTGTGCCTGAGCCTCCCAAATAGCTGGGATTACAGGTATGCGCCACCATGCCCAGCTAATTTTTGTACTTTTAGTAGAGACATTTTTATCATGTTGACCAGGCTGGTCTTGAACTGCTGACTTCATGTGGTCTGCCTACCTTGGCCTCCCAAAGTGCTGGGATTACAGGTGTGAGCCACTGGACCTGGCTCAGTATTGCTTATTAGATCTGTATTTGGGATCTTCAGTTATTCTCTTGGCTCGTTCTGCAGCTTTGGATAAATCACTTCTCATTTGTGAAATTGGAGGCTCATCTCTTTCATACTATGGGGTTGGGAGGAGCCCTGTAGAACTGAATGAGGAAGCATATAGAATTTAAGTGCTAGCATAGGAAGAGTAGTAGTGTTTTAGAACCAACTATTTCAAGAATACTGGTCCTGGCCCTGCGTGGTGGCGCACACCTGGAATCCTAGTACTTTGGGAGGCTGAGGTGGGCAAATCACCTGAGGTCAGGAGTTCAAGACCAGCCTGGACAACATGGTAAAACCCCGTCTCTACTAAAATACAAAAATTAGTCAGGCGTGATGGTGGGTTTCTGTAATTCCAGCTACTTAGGAGACTGAGACGGGAGAATCGCTTGAACCCGGGAGACTGGTCGCACTGAGCCAGGATTGTGCCACTGCACTCCAGCCTGAGTGGCTGAGCAAGATTGTCTCAAAAAAAAAAAAAAAAACAAACAAACCCAAAAAAACAAACTACTGGTCCTGTAGTTTCTGGGTGAATCAACCTCATAAATTTGTAGAATTTTATTATATCTGGAAAGGATTTGAGAAATAGGTAGTTATGGTTATAGCTTTCCATTTTATAGATGAAGAAGTCGAGCCTCAGAGAGGTTAAGTGATTTGCCTAAGGTCATATAGCTGTAGCTTTATGTTTAGGACTTCCTACATTTCTTGACACACAGTCTAGAATTATCCCTGTTTTGTTTTGCAACTTTAACTGATTGTACACACCAGTTAGGGGAGACATAAGGGCTGGGGTAACATGGAATTCTCGTGACCTCTGGGGTTGCTGCACTGTCCTCAGAATGTCCTGTATAGCTGCTAAAACTGAAAGGTTTCCTACTGGGGGTGTAGAGCTCCTTATGACTGCTGCATCTTTTTAGTTACCCTGCTTGCCCGGGGTCCTACAAACAGGACACAGAAGGGTCATGGGGTCACCCAAGACTGAACTAAAAGGATGTGCCATCAAAATAAGCAACATGGAATAGGAAGATAAACAAACCAAGGAGAGAGCTCTGGATGAAGGCGCAGAGGGGCCAGGGCTGGTGTCAGACGGCCATGCGGTCATTGCCTGGGGTCAGTTTTTTAAATTCTTACTGGGATTATTACTAGGCAAGAGTCTATAGACAATAAGTCACAGGGGGCAGCAGGCCAGGCAGGTTGTTAGGATACTAAGGTTTGGGAAAGTTAGAATTGAACAGGGGTTACTTCTCCCTGTTTGGTCCTTTTGTTTTTCTACTCCCTCTAAGAGCCTCTGATTTCTCAATTCTGGGGAATCCAAGGGGCCAATTAATACTGGCCTGACTAGAGGGGAAATACTGGCAATATCCACTCAAGTCAAGGCTGGGTGGGGTGCCTGTTGGCATCTTCATGGAGGGTAAGAACCCAATATAGGGCATTTTGTAGGTATGGGTAGAGAGGCATCTTTAGGAATGAAAGAAGAGTCAGAGCATTAGGGACTGTTGTTACACGGCGGGAGGAACTGTACTAAAGAGGAAGTTTAGGATGACTGGGCAGAGCCCACTCTCAGTCTAGTCCACTGGAGGGAGTTCCTTCCCCTGGCCCTATCCATGCTTCGCTCTCTCCATCTGGTTGCCATCAGGCTGTGTGGCTTCTGGCCGGCTCTTTATTTATTTATCCCAGTGTAATGGGGTGAGGAGGGAGCTGGCCTAAGGCTGGCATTCCAAGGCCATGCCACTGAGCCACAGGCGGTTTGCATGGGTGTGTGAGTCACTGGGGCTGCATGCTGCTCAACCAGACGCGGCCAGGCTCAGGGACAGCAGGCAGCCCAAAATAGAGCCCCGCCCTCTACAGCTGGCAACCTCTGGCTAGGAAGCAGCCCTTGAAACCAAAACCTGGGCAGTTGTGTGAAGTTGGCTTCCTTTGGTAGGGGTCTCTTAAGCAGAGATGGAGATTCTGCAGTTCTTTCCTTCTCTTTCTTCATAGGAGAGTATTCACCATAGCAGTCGTTCTTACTGCTGGATTCTGAATGCCTTATAAATAAATCTTTTTTTTTTTTTTTTTTTTTTTTTTTTTTGAGACAGAGTCTCATTCTGTCGCCAGGTGCCAGGCTGGAGTGCAGTGGCACAATCTTGGCTCACTGCAACCTCCTCCTCCTGGGTTCAAGCAATTCTTCTGCCTCAGCCTCCCAAGTATCTGGGGTTACAGGCACACGCCACCACACCCAGCTAATTTTTTTGTTTTTAGTACAGATGGGGGTTTCACCATGTTAGCCAGGATGGTCTCGATCTCTTGACCTCGTGATCTGCCCGCCTTGGCCTTCCAAAGTGCTGGGATTACAGGCTTGAGCCACCGCACCCGGCCCTTATAAATAAATCTTAACTAATCTGTACAGTATAATACCTTAGCTAAGAAATTAGGGGGCTATAGTTAACATTGATTTGATTTAGCATCCTAAATGCAGCCGTGGTTATTATGTTCTGTCTAGTTGTAGTTACTGTCTTCATCTCCTGTCTGGTTGCAGCCTGATTCTAGAGCAGATACTTTAAGCTATGAAGATAATCACTGCTGCTCTTATGAAACTAGTGCTTCTGTCACCTGTGGGAAGATGGGCAATGCTTTCACCTGAAAATTGCCATCCTGTTAAGCTTTTTCATAGTTCTAATTGGTTTCCTTGGCTGGCTCTCCATCTTCTGCCTGCCTCTTAAAGGTTAGTGTTTCCCAGGATCAGGTCCCTGATCCTCTCACCCTTCACTTTCCCTGTCTCTGGGTCATCTCATCTAGACCCCCGTGTCAACTATTGTTTGTAAGTACATCACTGAGTACCAATTTTATATCTCCACTGTGTTTTAGGCCCATATTTCTTTCTGTATGTTTGACATTTCCACTTGGATGTCCCACATAAAGCATATTCTAAACATGCCCAAAATGAATTATCTACTCCCCCA